CCCAAGACCACACACAGTGACAATGGCACTGGGACGACCCCCAGACCATCCATGCCCAGTGCGTGGATGTTCCCATGCTGTAACTGATTGGAATCTTCTGGACAATGACCTCATCATCCAGCACTAAGACAGCCATGAGGTAGATGAGCATCCCCTTGAGATCCCCACACACCTCCAAGATCAGCGAAGGAGTGGGCCTAGGTCAGCTCTCACTGTCCACCAGCAGATGGACAGTGACCTGTGGTCCAGCGGTTACTGCCTCCCTCAGCATCCAGCCATGCTTGCCGTTTGCCACAGAAGATGTTGAAAGTCTGACCAAATGTCCTGCTAAAACTCACACGTTTCACCCGTCATATTACACCTCGCAGGTCTGACACGGGGCTGGTAGCCACCCCCACAGCACCCCAAGATACCAGGTTCTAATCCCTGGGACTTGAGAATATGTTACCTTACAAGGTAAAAGGGCCTTTGAAGATATTGTAGATAAAGGTTCTCGAATGGAGAGATTGTCCTGGGTGATGACAGTGGGCCCAATGTCATCACAAGGGTCCTTATGGGGGACGGGGTCCGTCAGACATGATGGTAGAAGCAGAAGTTGGGGGGAGTGGCTTTGAAGTTGGAAGAGTAGAGAGAGGCACTTCTAGAAACTGAAAAAGGCAAGAAGAGGGTTCTCCCTGTAGTCTCCGGAAGGAACAACCTGCCCAGACCTGACCCTTAGAAAAGGGAATTGAGGGGGGAGGGGAAGGTGTGTGGTTTTGAGCCATGAGTTTGTGTGATTTCTTGTGCCCATAGGGAGCCTGCTGCCCAGTGACCGCCCCCCTTCTCCGAGGGTCTCCAGTGTCCACTCTGAAATTCATGGCCAAAGTCATGTCCATCTCAGAGGTCCAAGGGCTCAGCCCGATCACCTCCATCCTTTTGGAAACTGAAATCTCACTTTGGTCCCCAACCTCATCTCCTGGCTGTGAGCACTCTCCTTTAGCTTCTGGGTGGGACACAGTGAACCCCATCAGGCTAGAGGTGACTCCCAGAGGGCTTCATGGAGCAGTGGGTGGCTCCAGCCATCAAATCACATCAGTCCAATGTTTGCTGGGAGGTGGGGGGTCAGGCTCGCATTCCATGGTCTGATGCTCATAGGCTGGGTGGGTGGGCACGAACTGGGAGGCAGAGCTGGGAGCCAGTCCTCCTCAGGGCCAGGGCCCAAAACAGCAAACCCTGGGGACCCCCATGAGGACTTCCTCTCCTTAGAAGAGAGGACCATCGGGTCTGTTTCTTTCACCCATGACCCAGTTCTCCCAGGTCAATTGCCTCCTGTGCCTACAGCCAGGCCCCCTGACAGCCATCCCCCCACTGGCCCCCCAAACAGGCCTGGCTTTTGCAAGGACATTGAGATGCTAGTGTTTGTATCTTTCTCTCCTATTTGTAGGTCACACTTGGAATTTAAATTCTAATCTGCATTTAATTACCATCATTGTCAAGGTATTATATGCTCAGAAATGGAATCTAAGATGGAATGAGATGAAAATTGAGGTCATCCCCCTGACCTCCAGGGGCTTTCTTTTTTTTTTTTTCTCCAGGGGCTTTCTTGATGGCTCAGACAGTAAAGAATCTGCCTGCAGTGCAGGAGACCCAGGTTCAATCCATGGGTCAGGAAGACCCTCTGGAGAAGGGAGGGGCTACCCAATCCAGTATTCTTGCCTGGAAAATTCCATGGATAGAGGAGCCTGGCAGGAGGTCCATGGGGTCGCAAAGAGTCGGACAAGACTGAGCAACTAACACAGCACAACAACCCCAGCCTCCAGCATCCCCAATTCATCGCACCCCTGAGAGGTCCTGACAGAGCAGACTCCTGATGTACAGTGAAAACAGCATCCATCCAGCACTATATATATCACTCTACTTTTATGAATTCACTTACTCCTGGGCTGAGGGACTTCTGTCCTGAATCCCAGCTTTCTCACTTTCCATTTGGTGGTCCTCAAAGATGTGTCCATCAGACAAGGGGAGGAGACACACAGAGAGGTGAGGTGATGTGACTTGTGGCTGGCCACAAGTGCAGGGCATCAAAGATTGCTGGCAACTCCAGGAGCGGGAGGAAGCCTGGACCAGATTCACCTGAGTCCCCAGGAGGAACCGGCCCTGCGACCTCTGAGCCTGGAATTCCAGCCTCCAGGCTATGAGAGGATAAACTCTGCTGTGTTCAGCCCCTAATTTATGGTCATGTGTTTCTGCCGCCCTAGGTGACCAGCCCAGCTGGACGGAGGTGGGGGGAGCTGGGCAGGAAGCAGGTACAGCCAGGTCTGGGTGATGGGCTGCGGGGTCTGCCCTGGAACATTCTTACAGCTTCTCCATGGGTTCGAAAAATTTTCATAACAAAATGTTAGGGGAAAAAATGAAATGTTAGAAAAATAAAAATCTGTCTCTTCCCACTTAAATCTGAATAAATATTTAAAGGTTAGCAAGTCAAAGAACAGCAAAACTCTGTGCGGGGAATCCTGGCCAACCAGGTGTCCCCCCTCCCCATCCCTGGCTCCACCTCACATCTGCCTCCCTCTCCTGCCCGCAGCCCTGCCTGACCCCTACCGGGTCACCTGTCCTTGTGAGGCCTCAGCAGGAGCACCTTATTGCCCTCCAAGACTGAGGCCAGACATCTGTAGTAATGGAGGGCCAGGCAACCCACAGCAGCCACCCCGAGAGCCCTGGAGCAGATCAACTCCAAGGGAGCAGGGACGCCCCTTGTCTGGACTCTGCCTGCTGTCGGTGCCCAGAACAGGGCCTGACACACAGACTACAGTCAGCACCTGTCCATTCAAATAGACAGTGAACAACAGCATCGACCACCACCCAACAGTCTCCTCTGTCCCGGGGATGCCATGCAGCCTCTCACAGCCATTTAGGGGAGTCCCTGTCTCGGGCAGGCAAAATATCTCTTCGCTCTTTTCATGTCAATACTGGTGTTATTCAGCCAGAATAGATATGACCGAACACCAGCTGGAGGCTGGCCTCCTGCCCGCCGCTCCGCGGAGCCACGGGGCCTCTGCCAAGGACGGCCCTGGCTCCTGTCCCCTCCCCTTTGCGATATGGCCTGGAAGGAGGACACAAGCCTCTGTTTGGACTTGAGCGCCAAAACCTCCTGCCGAGCTATCTCGAGCCAGTCGCTTTGCCTCTCTGGCCTCCATCTTCAGCGTGAGATGGGTGCAGCGCCGCCAGCCAAGAGGGCATCGAGAAAGCCACGATGTCGGGTGGATGAAGCGCCAAAGAGCTCCTGCAGTCAGTCAGACGTGCTGTTCTTGTTATTCTGATGGCCCCCTGGTGTTAGATGTTTTCTCCTGGAACAAAGTCCACGTGGGGGGTTGCTGTTGTTCAGTCTCCAAGTCGTGTCCAACTCTTTGCGACCCCATGGACTGCAGCTTTCCAGGCTTCCCTGTCCTTCACTATCTCCCAGAATTTGCTCAAACTCATGTCCATCGAATCAGTGATACCATCCAACCATCTCATCCCCTATCATCCCCTTCTCCTCCTGCCTTCAATCTTTCCCAGTATCAGGGTCTTTTCCAATGAGTCGGCTCTTCGCATCAGGTGGCCAAAATATTGGAGCTTTAGCTTCAACATCAGTCCTTCCAATGAATATTTAGGACTGATTTCCTTTAGGATTGACTGGTTTGATCTCCTTGCAGTCCAAGGGACTTCAAGAGTCTTTTCTAACAACACAGTTTGAAAGTATTAATTCTTCAGGGCTCAGCCTTCTTTATGGCCCAGTTCTCACATCTGTGGGGGGGGGTGAGGAGGGGAAATACCTGTTGAGAGACAGGCCACGCCCACAGAGACAGAATCAGGTCCTACTTCCAGGCCCTGAGTAAGCGAGCAAGATGCTGGGAGGGGCCTGCACCCAGGAGAGGAAGAGGGTGGGAGGAGGGCTGGGCAGAGGAGGAAGTCCAGGAAAGTACAGCTCAGACATAGGAGCGATGTGACCACAAGCCAGGGACACCTGGAGCCACCAGCAGCTGGAAAAAGCCAGAAGGGTCCTTCCCTGGAGCCTCCAGAATGAAGGAGTGTGGCCCAGCCCACACCTTGACTTCAGACTTCCAGCTTCCGGAATGGTAAGAGAATGCATTCCTGCTGTTTTCAGTCTGCAGTGCTTTGTCACAGCAGGCCCAGGAAACAAGTACAACGCCCCAGACCCGCCCCTCCCACAGCGTCCCCCACTTGAGAAAAGACTGCTCTTTCCTGGTTGCTTAGGCCGATAGGAGAATCTTCTCATCTTCCCATGTTCTTGTCCTCCCATCCACATCCAGTTCATCGACACGTGCTGGCATCTCGGGGCAAGTGCACTTGACCAGGAAGAGGACTCAGCCGGACGCATCTCTGCAGCCCCACCTCTGCTGCCCAGGTTTACAGTGGCCTCAGCTGGCCTCCTGCTTGTACTCACGCATTCGTTCATTCATTACAGGAATTGGCTCACGTGTTTCTGGAGGTTGGGAACCCACAACCTGCCATCTGCTGCCCAGCAGCCCAGGACAGTGGATCAGGTAAATCAGTCTGAGTTCTCAGCCCTGAAAACCAGAGCAGTTGATGGTGTGAACCCCAGTCCAAGGGCAGGAGGAGCGGCGATGAGATGTCCCCGGTCACCAGCAAAGCAGGAAAAAGAGGTGCATTCTCCTCCTTGCACCTTGAGCGCTATTCAGGCTCCACTGGGTTAGAGAGGCCCCCACACCAGAGAAGCATGTGCAGCAGAGGCCGCCACTCAGATGCCAATCTTGCCCGGAAATGCCCTCATTGACCTGGAGCAGTGTTGCTTGTGGGAACTGATGACCAGGCAAGCGGACAGGCGTGGTAGCCACGACTGGCTCTGTCCCTGCCTCTCCCGCCTCCCGGGTCTCACATCCTCTCCCTGAAAGGTGGTGTCACAGCAGTGATAGGTGACAGTCCCCGCACACGTGCCCCAGCACTTCCCCTCCAGCCTCTCCCCCCACCGCTGGCCCTGGGCAGCCCGCTCACCCTCCATGACCTTCCCCAGGCATCGCATGGGTCACTCCCTCACCCCTGTCAGGTAAGGCACCTTTTCAGCCAGCCCTGCCCTGCCCTTTCAATACCTTTGTTCCCTACCCTCTTCCTGCCTTATTTCTCTGTCTGTGCCGGATAGCAGGCAGCTGCCCGTAGCTGCACCCCAGGCCCAGATCACCAGCACATGGCAGGTCCCCGAGCCGTGTCACCTGAGTGACTGAGAGCCGGAGCCTTGGCAGCCCCACACCACGTGGTCACTGGGTGTGTCCCCTGCCCCCACCTGACCCAGAGCATGGTGATGGGCCCCTGAGGGCAGTGTTGGCAGTTATCGCTGTGAGTCTCTGCCTCGTGGAAGGATATTGAAAGGCAGGGACTGCACTCTGATCCCTGCCATGGGGCTCCTCAGTCTGCTCCAGCCTCAGACCCTGAGAGATGCCCACAAAGGCAAGCCAGCTCTGCAGAGGGTGTGGAGTTAACTCCCCGAACCCCAAACTGAGGGCTGGCCTCTGTCAAGGCTCCGGGAGGGACCCCAGGCTCCAGGGTTCTTTCTACTGGGAGGACTGTTTATGGGGCCAGGGCCCATCAGAGCCCCTGATGGGGTTCACGGTGGGGTTCTGCTCCCTCTCCAGAGGGGCTGGACACTGAGGGCCACCACATGGGCCCTGCAGCCCCGGCAAAGGCTGGACACCAAGGTGAGGAGCCCCTGGCTGGTAGCACCCAATGTGTGCTGTCATACATTGGGGCCAGGGGCTCAACTCAGCCCACAGCCCTGTGGGAGGACACCAGGGGCTCATGTTTGGGGGTCTCCTGCGTCTGTCCCAAGCCAGTCCCTTGGTTGATGCTAATCCATGCCCCTTGCCTACCCCTAACCGGGACAGTGAGAACAGAGCCCTGAGGGGTGGTGGAGGCCTCCCAGGGGGTTGTCCAACTCGAGGGGATCTCGGGGACCTTGGACTTGCAGGTGGTGTCAGCACTGAGGGACTTGTGTGCCCTGGGCTCCCCCCTAACTTTGAGGTTGGCTAGCTCTCACAGAGGGTTTCCCTGATGGCTCAGTGGTAAAGAAACTGCCTGTCAATGCAGGAGACGCAGATTTGATCCCTGGGTGGGGAAGATCTTCTGGAGAAGGAAATGCCCATAGTCCAGTATTCTTGCCTGGGAAATCCCATAGACAGAGGAGCCTGGTGTGCTACGGTCCATGGGGTCGCAAAAGAATCGACCATGACTTAGCAACTAAACAACAACTCTCATAGAATAAGCAGCACAGCTGCTATCCAAACTCCTGTGGGAGAACCTTCTCTGCTTGGCCTCACCGCACTCCGGTGATGAGAACAGCACCCAGTACAGAGCAGGCGCTTCATCAATATCACTTGGAATCAGTGCATTGCCTGGCAGGATGTGAGTTTGGAGGAGAAACGGGGGCACCTTCCAGATTCCAGGGGTGCTGTCTGGGCCTAAGGAGCCGGGTACTGGGCCATGACGTGGACTGACCCCCTCTTCTGGCACCTGGCCCCTTGCTGCCTCCCTGGGAAAGTGCTGGCCCTGTGAGAGCTGAAGGTGGCCTTCCATCGCTTCCATGTGGGCGGCGGGTCTTTCCTAGGCTGCCAGGGCTTCCTGCTCCTGCTCTGAGGGCTCTGTCCCAGGCCTGGGTGTGCCTTGGATGAGCCAAGAGTCCCTCAGTGCATGGGTCTGACCTTGACCCAGGCCACAGATCACATCAGGGGACAGAGAGGATGTATGCCGGGCCCACAGTGTGCTGGACTGTCCACTTGTACTCTCAGCCTCCGCCCCCAGCCTAGTGGTGACCGTGTGTGCACATGCTGTTCCCACTGGCACAGCGGGGCCACTCCTCGGGGCTTTACCCAAGTTTCTGCATGAAGCCTCCCCGCCCCCGGCCTCCTAAGCTTCCTGGATTCTGTCTTTGCCAGCCCTCACCATCGACTGTCAGCCATCTGACTCGCTTACTGTGTCTCACTGGGATGGGGGCTATGACCTGACTGCAGGTGGCCCTCAATAGCAAGGTCCAGCTGGGTGCCTGAGTCCATGGGGCAGACGCCCTCCTGGGGCACCCTGCCAACCCCAGACTCCCATGAGACCCCGGGTTCCTGGCCTCCAGACTGAGGAGTGCCTGCAAGGTGGCCCTCGGTTACAGCAGCTAGGAAACCACACGCCGGGCGACAGTTGTGAGAGTACATCCACCCCACGGGCTTTGCCAAAATCAGTCTTGTTTGAACAACAACCCGAATTCACCCTCCGACAGAGCCCTGGGGGGGCTGTGAAGGGGCTGGGGGGTGAAGCAGATGGAAGCGGCTGTCACCAACAGCTGGTGGGTGCAAGGAGCCTCCCTGCTTCCCCCGAACCCACAGCCCCTGAAAGGCCCGGGGCTGGCCCCACCCGGCTGGCCCCAGTGCCTCCCTGCTGCTCCCCGCCCCGTGGTTGCTGGAGGCTGTGGGGTGGAGAAGGATTGGATTTGTCAGATGAGTATTGTCACTGATTAAATTTGCTGGGCTGGCTGTTGGCACACCGCCGCCGGTCTCTCCCTGGTGGGCCGAGAATCTGTTTGAGGTCGTTAAAAAGATGGTAATTGAACATCCTGAGGACTAGATCCAGCAATGCCAGAGCGCGCAGCCTCTAAGGACAAAGTCCCCGCCCATCACTTAGGTTCCAAGGGCAGGCGGGGAATTAAACCCAGGAATAGAAACAAGCATCCTAGCAGCTGGGGTGGGGGGGAGGGGGGAGGAAGTAAGGGGCAGCAGGTCATCCATCTGTGCTTTTCCTGGAATTTCCCTGACCCAGTCTTCACCATCCTGCTCTGGGCCTGGAAAGGACAAGTCAGGGGCTCCCTGCCCTCTGACCACCACTGAGTCCAGCCAAGGGAGCGCCGGGAGGATAGCAGGGCCAGGGGCCACAGAAAGAGGGCCCCTGACTGTGGCCGTCCACCTACCTGGACCACAGCTCCTGCAGGCGCCCTGCCCAATGGGTTCCCCTCCTTTCTCCCTCTCGTGTGTCTGTCCTGCTGTGTCTGCTCCTGCATCTGTCCCCTCCCCTCTGCCCTTCAGTCTCAGATGGGACCCTCCTTCCTGCCCCCTCCCCGGGGACACCCGTGCCCCAAACACACCTGTGTCCCTTTGCAACACAGCAACTACACTTATTGTAAAAAAGAAAAAATAAAATGTTTAGCAGTTGCCCTGGAGTTTGCAATGTACATTCACAACCAATCCAAGTCTGTTTTCAATAACACAGCAAGCAGCATCTTTTCAATAACACTGGCTGGTTTCTGCCTCCTCTCTGGGGAACACTGCCTTGTTCATGTCCCCATGAGCTATAATCACCCAATGCATTGTGCTGCTATCATTTTGAAGAAACTGTTATTTGTAGGACAATTAGAATAAGAAAAAGCAAAAACAAAAAAAAAGAAAAAGAAAAATTTTTATTTTATTTTTTTTAGAAAAAGCAAAAATTTTATTCTGCCTTCATTTATTCTTTCTCCAACCCTCTTTCCTTCTGCAGACCTGAGTTCTGACCTAAATTATTCTTTGTCTGCCTGAAGGCCATCGTCCAGCATTTCTTTTGAGGCCAGTTCCTGTCTCTTTCTACACCTTCTTCAAAGGGCCCAGGTAGAGAGTGCCTGACTGATTTTACTGCATTTAAACCTACAACTTTCAACAACTCTATGACATTGTTGTTCAGTCCCTCAGCCATGTCCGACTCTTTGCAACCCCACGGACTGAAGCACACCAGGCAACCTTGTCCTTCACTATCTCCTGAAGCTTATTCAAACTCACGTCCATTGATTCGACGATACCATCCAACCATCTCATCCTGTCACCCCCTTCTCCTCCTGCCTTCAATCTTGCCCAGCATCAGGGTATTTCCCAATGAGTCAGCTCTTTGCATCAGGTGATGAACATATTGGAGCTTTAGCATCAGTCCTTCCAGTGAATATTCAGGACTGATTTCCTTTAGGATTGACTGGTTTCATCTCCTTGCTATCCAGGGTACTCTCAAGAGTCTTCTCCAGCACCACAATTCAAAAGCATCAATTCTTCAATGCTCAGCCTTCTGTATGGCCCATCTCACATCCATTCATGACTACTGGAAAAACCACAGCTTTGACTATACACTCCTTTGTTGGCAAAGTGATGTTTCTGATTTTTAGTACACTGTCTAGGTTTGTTACAGATTTTCTTCCAAGGAGCAAGCATCTTTGAATTTCATGGCTACAGTCACTGTCCACAGTAATTTTGGAGCCCAAGAAAATAAAGTATGTCACTGTTTCCATTGTTTCCCCATCTATTTGCCATGAACTGATGGGATCGGATGCCACAATCTTAGTTTTTTGGATATTGAGTTTTAAACCAGCTTTTTCACTCTCCTCTCTCACCTTCATCATGTCCTACAGACGAGGAAACTGAGGCCCAGACTGCTGAGTGCACAGCGTTTGCGGTCATTCACCCACATGATGTCATGTTGACTTCAAAGCCAGGCTCTGAGCCACTGCACCTGAGCCCAGGAGACCCTGCAGGATCAGGGAAGGTGAGCTGGTTCCAGCCCTGCCTGGCCCTCCTTGGAGTCCCAGGCCTCCTCCTGCCTGCTGGCAGCCATGTCACTAATGCACGCCATGGAACGTGCCCTCAAGCCTGGCTCCCTCCCTCATCAGCATGCAGGACACGGCCTCACAGCCTCTGAGAGGCTCATGAAGTGCCTGCCGAGCTGCCAGCTGGCCCAGCTGTTGCCATGGAAAAGCCCAGAGCATGTGGGCCTCCTGGCAGCCTGACACCCGCTCCCCTGGGACCCCCAGCCAGGCTGTGGGCCCAGTACCCAGAGCACACACGTGAAGGGGACCTGCTCCCAGCGGGCCTCAGTGAAAACAACTGGGACCTTCCCTGGGAGGGGTTGATGATGTCAGGCCCCTTTGCATCTATTAGAGCCAGGGGAACCCCATTGTGGGGGTGGAGATCTTTCTGCCTGCCCACGTCCATCCCCCCACTTTTCGCTAAAGTCACCTCAGCCTGCTTTGAGGAGCAGCCTCCCCCGTGAGTATAGTCTCAGGGGACCCACCCTCACCTTGGTCAAACCCAGATCTGATCTGTCAGCAGGTATCACTCCCCCTCCCTCTGCCCATGTCAAAGATTGGTCCAGGTCTGGGCATGTAACCTTAGTCAAACCACTGATACTCCTGGATCTGTGCCAACACTCAGCAAAGGCGAATGGCTGAGCATAGAGTCAGGGACACGCAGATGTGTCAGCCTGGGTTGACCTCTTGATCAAGCCATACCTGAAACCAGTATCCCTGGCATATCCAATCACCTGAGGTAGCACAGTTCCATTTTTATTCATGCTTCATTGGGTTGGGTTTTTGTCACTTTTGATGAGAGCCCTCCCTAACACTCTTTGGCTCTTAAAAAGATTCCTACAGGTGGGCTGTGTCCCGGCTCCATCCTAACCCACCCTTGTAACTTTGAACAAATCACCACCCAGGAGCTTTGGTCTCTGTGTCATGGGAACTGGTGCTCACAATGGCCCCTTGCTCTGAGCATCCCCTATTTCTACGCCATCAAGAGGACCCCAAAAGAATTTCTTTGTGATGTCAGCCTTTCTCCATTTTCAGAAAAGTGTCAGGGCACACAGAACCAGGAAGGGCTGAGTGTCATCTCTTTAATGGAAGTTTAAGCCTCCTGCATTGCCAGGACAAGAAGAGCCTTATCTGTGCATAGCCGGCCAAGAAGCTTTTCCTTACGTCCACCCTTGTGTTCCAACTTGTGCCCAGCTCTTTGCCCTGGGACTCCTTCTTTGCCCAACGCTGACCCTGCAGATGGAGCCTTGTAGGCTGGCTTCTACCTGGGCTCAGCCGGAGCGAGCATTGGGTGGGAGACTGTGTCCATCACCCTGGATAGGAACACATGGCTCTCAGCACTTCCTGTAAGGCCTGGTGTGGGTGTTCCAAGAGGGACTTGAGGGACTGGGAAGAGGTCACCCTCACAGCCAACTCTGCCTTCTTGTAGGAAAATTTCACAACTTATCCCAACTGTAGGCAAGTCCTCAAGTCCTCCCCAGCACACTGCATCTGTGAGAAGAGACCCTGCAGGGAAGGTGAGCCTGAAGCCAGTATATCCTTCAGTAAAGGCTGGTACTGGCTCTGATGTTTCCAATGTGCTCCCCTGACTCTCCCCACACAGTCACTCCCCACTCTTGCCTGACATCTGAGCTGGAGACCCTGGTGGCCAGAGAACTCTTCCCTGCATCCCTCACCACTGTCACCACCTCAATCTCCACTTTCTGTATGGGGTGTTGATGATGGTGATGGTGACAGTGATGACGAGGAAGAGGAGGAGCAAGATGGTGAAATAGGTGATGAAAAGGTGAAAGTGATGACGATGGTGATGATGAAGGTGATGGTGGTGATCTGGGGTCGATAATACCTGGTTCAGGGCTTCTTTCATAGCTGAGTTGGTAAAGAATCTGCCTGCAATGCAGAAGACCCTGGTTCAATTCCTGGGTTGGGAAGATTCGTTGGAGAAGGGATAGGCTACCCACTCCAGTATTCTTGGGCTTCCCTGTGGCTCAGCTGGTAAATAATCCGCCTGCAATGTGGGAGATCTGGGTTCGATCCCTGATTTGGGAAGACCCCCTGGAGAAGGGAAAGGCTACCCATTCCAGTAATCTGGCCTGGAGAATTCCATGGGCTGTATAGCCCATGGGGTTGCAAAGAGTTGGACATGATTGAGCAACTTTCACTTTCACTCTGGCTGTTCATGAGCACTCAATAACTGCTAACTATTATTGTCATTGTCACCATCTCCCTAGTGACAGTGTTTGATCAAGGATAGGCAAATAACCCAAGTGAGTCTGATCAAAGTGAACCCTAGGATTTTACAAGGACTGTCTCACTGGGGTCACTGCCCTGGTAGAGTGTGATCAGGCAGCTTCGGTTTCAAGCCATTTTGCTCCCCATCCTGCCCCCTAGGGTGTGAGCCTAGCCAAGAACAGGGCCAACACAGGGGGACAGCAGAGCTGATGGTGGGAAGTGGAGTCCTGGCAGATTATCTGAAACCCTAGGTCAAGCTGTATCTGTCCTTTTCAGCCACAGGAATAAAGTCCTTTCTTTCTATGTATGCCAGTTGGGTTGGGTTTAGGTTCTTCACAACAGAAAGAGCTCCAATGGATTCTGTGAGTCTCTGCAGAGCCCCAAGGCAGTGGCAAGTGAAGGATGAGCCATGCAAGGTCTGAAGAGTGAGAGAAGGAGGGAAAAGAAGACGTGGCCATGGGCAGTGGCTTGAGCTTCCTCACCACATGGTGGCCAAGTTCCAGAACTGGCCTATCTCAGTCTGTTCCCATCCCACAGACCAGAGTCTCTGTGTACATCCATACAGGTTGTACACTACACAACTCCAGGAGATGCCAACCTTCAGCACTCAGGCTTTCCAGTCTGTATTCAGAGTGAAATTTTTCAACCTGAATTTCTAAAGGTCAGCCAAAGTCAGGCCAAGTCATCAGTTCTCTGGAACTATCTGACACTAGGCTTAAAGAGTAACCCGAACAAGCAGATAAGGAAATCCAGGGCAACGAATGTCTGTGGAGACAGGCAGGAACCAGATGGGTGAGGCGTGTGGGCAAAAGGGAATAGGGAATGGTGGGGATTGTGGCAGGGGAAGCTTGGACTCTGCTTCCTCCTGCCTCATCCTTCCACCTGCCAAAAAAAGTGAGCCCACAACAGAATTCAGATCAAGTTTGGAATCTTTGAAACGGAGACGCTGTGCCTCGAGCAGGCATGGTGTCTTATGTCTCCCACAGAGAGCCTGGCGCAGAGTGGGTGCTCAGTAATAATGCTGACCTGGGTTAACCTGAGACTCCAGACCTCATGTGATCTATGAAGGACCAGAAAATAGGGCTTCTGTGTGTGAGTCCAGAGAGTTATAACAGCTGGTGTGTAGTGACTCCTGTCTATACTCCATTGCTCATAAAAGCTGTTGGAGAAACATCTACTGCTTATAAACACCTGTGAGACCCTCTCACCTCCAGCCCCCTCTTGTGTTTTGGGGACCCAAGTGCCTGTCTGCCCTGTGTGACTTTAGGGCCACCACATGACGAATTGGCATTCCCTCTCAGCTCTCTTACATGACTGGGGCAACCAACAGTGTTGCGGGCAGCAGACCCTCCACCGGCATTGGTGCCTGAATGATCGATCACATGCAGCAGGAATACAACGATATAGTGTGGACATCCCTGGTGGTCCAGTGGTTAAGAACCCACCGGCAAATGCAGGCAACACAGGTTCAGCCCCTGGTCCGGGAAGATCCCACATGCTGCAGGGCAACTGAGCCCGTGCGCCACAGCTACTGAGCCTGCATGCCTAGAGCCTGTACTCCACCCGTGCATTGCAACAAAGAGTAGCCTCCGCTTGCCACAACTAGAGAAAGCCCACACGCAGCAACAAAGACCCATCGCAGCCAAAAATAAATAAATACATAATATTTTTTAAAAAGATATGGTGGTAAGCACTGTACTTTCAGAGCTCATCTTACAGTGTAACCTAGCCTGTCATGACTAAGGTTTAGTGTTTACAAACAGCATGAGGTAGTAGAGAGGGAAGCAGCTCTGAGAGCAGCCAGCACCCCTAGGAGCGTGGATGTGTGCCTGATTCCCCATTCCAGAGGCTCCTGAGCACCCCGCTACCCCAGGTGTGTCCTCCACACACTCCTCCTGCCCACGTCAGTGGAAGCTGAACTTGGGTGTCTGCCACTTGCAACAACAGCCAATGAAAATCTGACAAATCCAACGTTGTCCTGCTCATCTCTGGGTTCTCCAGGCATGCGTGCTAAGTTGCTTCAATCATGTCTGATTCTTTGCGACCCCGTGGACTGTGGCCCACCAGGCTCCTCTGTCCATGGGATTCTCCAGGCAAGAATACTAGAGAGGGTTTTGCTATTTCCTCCTCCGAGAGATATTCCCAACCCAATGATCGTACCTATGTCTTTTACGTCTCCTGCACTAGTACTTGGGTTCTTTACCAATAGTATGACCTGTGAAGTGGGTTCTCTGGAGTTCCAAGGAGCTCAGGAAATGTTTGCTGGATAAACAAAGAAGCCAAGGGCAGCATGGTGTCTGAGAGCTGCTGAGAAGAGACACCTCAGGGGACACTTCCTACCTGAGGAGGTAGGGGCTGGCATCAGCCCTGACTGAGGGGCATGTGGGCTCAGTAGTGGTGGCGCAAGGCTTTTAGTTGCCCCAAAGCATGTGGAATCTTCCTGGACCAAGGATCGAACCTGTGTCCCCTGCATTGGCAGGCAGATTCTTAAACACTGGGCCACTAGGCAAGTCCCTTCATGGGCTTTTGACAGGTAACGAGGTCATTTCAGATAGGCCCTTTCAGTAAGATGTGGTTGTGGCAGAACCACAACTGGATTAAGCAAAAAAGGAATATATTGAATCATGTTTATGTGAAGTCCATGCACAGAAAATGCTTCAGGTACAGCTGGCTCTGAAGTTAAAAATATCATTAGGTCATAGTCCCCTCAGTCTCCTTGCTCATCTGT